TCCAAAGAGATAACTCAATAATCAACCATATAAATCAATCAAACATCATCAAGTACCTAGGGTTCGATATCCCCGGAACTAGAATAAAATCTACTCTAACATAATAAATACGAAATAAAAGAGAAAGAGAAGAATAAGATTATCCTTCTCGTGTGCGGGTGCGGCCTCCCTCCGCGATCTATCGGCTTCCTCGTAATTCTGCTATTCTCTTTTTGCGTATCTGCCTTCTGTCTCTGTTTCCAGCGGCTGCCTCTCTTCTGCGTGAATATTATATATATATATATGTAAATTTGGCAAATTCCCTTCTTAATTGTCTCCCAGGAAAAGGAAAATAATTCTTAATTTTATTCTTTGACTTTTCCAAATAAATACTCCACTGCGTGAATGCGTCCCCCAGGCTTAGTAATCAATTGCTCCCCAAAGTCTCCTTTTTCAGTTATTAAAATTCTTATCACCAATAAAAGTCCAACATGATTGCATGTCCAATATCAGACCAAATTATTCCACTATTATTTGCCCATGTAAGGCCTTCAATTGGGCTTATTCATTTGGGCCCACAAAAATCTCCAATTATCCTAAAAATAAGACATAAAAATATCATAGCATTTGAATCCATCTAATAAATAAATAAGTCGAAAACATATAAGTGCAATAAAATTAAGCGTATAAAAATACGCTAATAAATATATAAAGTACACACTATTTCCGACCAATCAAATCTCCCCAAACTTAAACTGTTGCTTGTCCTCAAGCAACTTAGAACTATAAGCACATAGATGGATAAGAAAACAAGTACGTCGAGTATTTGCTCAAGGCCTCACACTTCTCACATAGATGCATAGTTCAAACAACTCGAAATAATTTATCCGGACTCAAGACGAATTTATTCTAAGAACTCAAACACTTCAAGTATCAATCCAAGTGACCACCATAGTTTGTCAATCTCTATAACGAATGCACCAATCAATGCAACTAATGACACCCCTCTCTTTGCTAACAGGTCTAGTTTCTATCCATTTCTAGCCGAAGTCTAAATGTCTCATTCTCCATACTATTTTTTTTCTCTTTTTTTTTTATTCTCTTTTTTTTTATGAGTAGGGAACGGCAGCTCCGTCACAACCCGCGGGTTTTAGCCTTTCGTGCTCGTCTAGATATGGGAAATATTGTAATTATACACTAGAGCTCCCACGGATTGGCAGCTGTTGCAGCCCAAGACTTTTTTTTTTTTTTTTTT